CCTCCATTGCACAACATGTCACAGTATAAAATAGAGTAGACAAGGAGTGAAGACAGATTAAAGAACTATCTTTATTGATTTGTTTATTATGAATTTCTTGTGTTGACGGTTTTATAACAGTAAAACACAGATTAAAGAAGAGTACTTCAGGAAAAATACAGAGCAGAAAAGCATGTCATATGATAACCTAACCATGTGGATGTCAGAGCATAATAACAAGTGCTCTAGAAAAGTTGAAGTTTGTGGTTACTCAATACACATTTCTCTGAGTTAAGAGGTATTAATTCCTGTCAGTTACTTCTTATTCTTATATGATAAAGTTAAATATAAATTCCCTTTCCAATATAACTACTCATACATACAATTTAAGCATCAAGTTTCTGTACTAATAAGTACCACATACAAACAAAATTCCAAAAATTTTGTTCTCTGAATTTTGCTATATAGCTAAGCATGCCAGTGTAATTTCTAAGTACTTCATACCATAATTTTCAGCAACATAATCACTTTCTGCCAGGGTGACATACACAAGACAGGCCTTCTCATATAGCAGTGTCTTCAAGTGGATGCTCCATGACATTCTGTCCTTATTATCTGGCCGCTGCCATGTGGGTAGGGCCTCCGTCCTGGACTTGCATAAGAGGGCCTTTGGAGAACTACAAGCACCATCAACTGCGCCAGCTGTCTCACCTCTCACATTGGCACCCTTTGTCTTACTGCCTGTGGCAGTCACTGGAATACCTTTCTCTTTCCTCTTCTTTTTGGTTGTGCCTGTCAGAGCTGGCCCAGATATATCAGGCAGTTCCTCATTCTCTTTCTGAGGTGATAAAGGTGAGTAAGGCATCGGAATGGCTTGGAAAGGTCTCGCCATCTTTGGAGTGTCTTGTTCCTGTGGCTCTGGCTTACTGCCTTTCATGTGTTTCTGAAAAGTCTGCACATGTGATAAAGGCAGGTCAGTTATAGCATTACCACAGAATAAAGAATCAAGAGCTGTATTTCCAAATTTTCAGTAACCTTAAAAATATCATAAGAGTATGCACTATGAGTAAGACATATAATACTTGTTACTTGGCAGTTCCCAGGGTACACACACACACACACATGCAGTATATTTATAATATAAAATAACAGCATATGTTTAATGTCAAGCACTACCAATTCAATATATAAAATGTGCAGAAAGATATACTCTAACGATGTAAACATATTTTCCAAATGTAATCATTTCAATTTTGCACGCTTCAGCGTCATGATCATTTACTGCGAATATATCATATAACATTATAGATATCACAGTGCATAGTCAGAAATCATTTTCTTGTTATCCTTTTTAATATTAGACAAAAAATGTTTTGAAAAGTCCTCAGCTTTGATGAGATCTATATTTTATGACACATCATAGTTCTTTTACAGTTATGTATTTTCTAAGAAAAATGATAAAATATGACTTGAGCTAACCACAAAGCAGGGGTTTATATTCAACCAATGCAAGCCAAAATTAAACTGACCTGACAGCTTTCTGTAAAGACTCACGGTATCAAATTTCACTGATATTTGTTCACTGCTTCCACAGAAGAAACATGCAGGCACTGTCTTCATAATACATGTTCATTTGATAAAAAATGCAGTAAGGCCAGAATCATCTGCTATCATTATTCAACTGAAAATGATCTCAACTTCATTGCAAAGATGACACCAGACACTAGTGTGTGATCTGTCAACCTCTTTGAGAGGCATGACAAGCTGTGCATGAATGGGACAGTTAGGAGCATGAATTTACAGCTTGATTGGGCCCTGATGAGGCATGATATGTCTCACACTGGTGTTACTGACACATCATCTATTGTGAGGGAAGATCACACTATTCATGGCCTGCACCTAAACTCTCAAGACAAGAAGGGGCTAACATACGTTATTGCCAAGGGCTCTTGGTGGTCATGCATCGGATTCAAGCAGTATTCCTGTTATAACCCATGCTAGGGCTTCTCATTTCTTTAGCTTCAATTCAAAAACACAAAGTAAATGCAATCCTGAAGTCTTGGATTTTCATAAACAAAATGCAGAATCATCCAACTCAATAAATATCTTTCACTAGAATATCAGAGGGATGAGAAGCAAAACTGATGGATTAATACACTCTTTTGAAAGAGACAACATAAACCCTCACATATTATATTCAAATGAGCATCATATGGTTGAATAGAAGCTGCTGCACCTCACAGTGAATGGTTATCTATTAGGCTCCAGCTTCTGCCAAAAAGGCCTGCTGAGGTGAGGTGTGTGTATTTTTGTTAGGAAAGATCAACATTTCAGCAAAATTGACATTCTCATCACTGTAAGGAACAGGACTTTGAAATCTGTGCAATTCAACTAGTAACTAAGACATCCAACCTAATGACATTAAGCTTGTACAGAGCTCCTCCATATGTTAATGAATTTATATATATATAGTGTTCATGGGTAAGCACACATGTGGAGGGGGGGGGGGGGCATGGGCCTAGTCACACTGAGAAACAATAAAGCATGGAGTTCCCCAAGAGTCAATTTTTGGGCCTTCGTTTTTCCTGATCTCTATAAATCTCTCCTACACTAAACACCTCATCAGTACCCATAATATATGCTCATGACACTAGTGTGACAATTTTTAGTAAAAATTTGGCTGACTTCTGCATACTAAGGAAGAAAATTTTCTCTCAAATGAATAAATGGTATTCTGTAAATAAGCTATCCCTGAATCTAGATAAAATAAATGTAATAAAATTTATAACAAAAAATTCACCATAATTTTCATTAAACATTAGATATAATGATAAATATATAGAAGAGGCAGTAATCACAAAATTCCTCGACTTACAAATTGATAATCATTTAAAACAGAAAAACCATATTGATCAATTTGTTTCAAAGATAAGTGCAGCAAGTTATGCAGTTAAATCTATGATGCATATCAGCAACACTTACACTATCAAATCAATTTAATTTGGTTACTTTCACTCTTTAATAAAGCATGGAATAATTTTTCAGGGGTTATTCATCTGACAGAAAAAAAGTGTTTACACTGCAGAAGAAAATCGTTAGAATCCTGATTGATGTCAAATCCTGTAATTCTTGTAGAGATCTTCATTTTGAATGTACATTTTCATGAATAAACTTCATTACAAATAATGAAGAACATTTTCAGACCAATGCAGATGTACACAGTTTTAACACAAGACACAAGCAATATCTTCATAAACCAACTGCTAACGTTGCATGCTTTCTGAAAAGTGCATACTATGCTGGGATCAAAATTTTTAATTATCTGCCATCTGATCTCAAGTCTTACGAATGAAAAAGCACAATTTAAAATAGGACTAAAACGATACTTAAACAAATACTTATTCTACTATGTTGATGAATACTTATTGTAAAAAATGACTCATCTATTTAAAGGTTGTGTAAATAGCATACGTTGACAGTAGTGATGTATACATGTATATGTATTTTTGAACAGCTTTATGTGTAACCACTGTGTTTTCTTGGGTTTCTTTATGTGACAACTTCAGCTGTATTGTACTTATATTTTTGTATTTATATGACATATTCACATCCTACAGTCATTCGGATTCAGGGACTGTAATGTAATGTAGAGTAAAGTAAAGCAACACCTGAAAGTGGTACTTCTCGTGAACCCCCTCTTGCTGTCTGCTGTCATCCTTGTCATTGCCATCAAAGTACTGCAAGCACTGCAGTCCCAAGGCAACATGTTGAAGCGCCATCTTACAGCGCTCTTCCACCCCACCACAAACAGGGGGAGGAGAACTGGCCTTTGATTCATCACTGGACACATCTCGTGAGGCAGTCTCTGGGGATGACACACACAGAGCCTTCACAGGAACACTGCTGCTGCTGTTGATGGAACCTTCAAAGCAATTACACTGAGTTACTTAACACTGTTGTTTCAATTAAACAGGTTATATACAATCAAATAAGATGAAAACATTTACATAAGTGGCAACCATGTGCAACCCACATAACCAAAAGAACCAGAGGCAACTACAACAGGAGGAAGAAAACTGCATTATAGTGAGTAGCAGAATCCTTAACCACAACAACCTGTACACCTGAAGATGGCCAGTCAGGCCGAAACATAGTGTCGAATAATGGAATATGAAGAAAGAATAGTGAACAATGTTGCACTTAGACAGCACAAAAACTCCTAAGTCAGATCTATTACGAAGTGTTACTCCAGAATTTGTCTGGGGGAATTGAAGAAAACTATGGAAATTTTAGTTAGAATAATTGGTAACTCAGCTGAGATATTAAACTAACAACTCCCAGACACAAATCAAGAGCATCATACTGCTTGTGAACGTAGTGAATAGCGAACAAGATTGTTAATGATGAATAAGTAAAGATTTGGAAGGCAATGGTTATGACTTACTTCAAGGTCCTATTCTGAAGTGTGCCTGAAGAGACTAAGGAAAATGACAATCTGTCGAGATGACATGACACCTTACTGAAATTTGAAGCAGATATCTCCCTCATGCAAGTCTCTTCCTTTACCATTATACCAGTCTGCTCAATCAACATAATTTTCATTCAACCATAATTTATCTTGCCTCCACCACCATGATTAATCACAGTTCAGGGTCTTGTCAAACTGCATATCCTGTTCATCATTATTTTCACTGTCACACTAACACTGGAAGTGAAGGTTTCCGCACTATTCCATTTAAGAGCTGAATGCACAAGGTAGTAAAACCACAATGCAAGACAATCACCACAAATGTATTCAGCAAGTGGATTCAATTTTTTCCTGCTTTATATTTGTAAAGTAACTGCTTGTACTGTTATTTCCTAACTTATTTAGTTATGGTTCCTTAACTGCTTATATTCACAGGTGAATAAGGGAATGATTCTAAATGAGTAAGTGGAAAGGATGGGAAATGAAGTCTGGCAAGTTCCCACTGCACTAGCAGTAACTGATATGCTCAGGTATTATCACAGAATTACCCTCTTTTGGCTGTCCACTTTTCAGGACATAAGAAGCAAATTTTATCCTGCAGGTATGCACTACTCACTTCACTATACCTCACCAAAGCATCCTTGGGAACAAACCTGTAGTATATGAAGCTCTGTTAATTGGAAAAGACTTAAAACATCATTCACCTTCTCCTTGAAGCAATTCTGCAAGAACTTAGTGGCTCTTGGTGACAATGGTGGAGTATCATTTACTTTGGTGCTCATACAGAGTATTTCGCTTAGGCGGGGGTGGAGTCCAACTGGGTCCACTCAGATTGGCCTATTGTAGCCTGCTCTGAGTGATTATCATTGAGAATTTGGTGGAATGAAGATTGGCAGGGGAAACCGAAGTACTCAGAGAAAACCTGCCGCAGAGCCACTTTGTCCACCACAAATCCCACTTGACCAGACCCAGGATCGAACTCAGGCCGCTGCAGTGGGAAGCCAGCGACTAACCACTTGAGCTATGGCGTGGCCCATTCATATAGAGTAGAAGAGCGAGCTCAGTGGGGCAAAATGGTGCATGACATACAGGAGGAACATGAAAGTAGCAGGTTCCTCTCAAACATTGGTACCTATCTATCAGTTTGATCGATATCATAACCTGGAAGACCATTATCTGAACTCTCACCATCAAAAGAACCTCATATCTCAAAGGCTGCAGATATTAATGAGGCCTATATTTTGTGTCATTTATCAACTTACTGCAAGCTGAGCCATTTATGAGAACATTCATAACATGTGATCTGAGATTCATCAACAGGAAAAGCATTATTAGATTGATAGAGACCAAAATTAAACTTACTGTACAATGTTTAATATACATTTTCAACACAAAATTTCATTGAAATCCAATTTAAAAATTTAGCATATACAGTAAAACTTGGTTATAGCAACATCGGTTTCTGCGACACCTTGTCTATTGCGTCAAATATTCAATGGTACGAACTAATTCCTCATAAAGCAACTGTTTTTATACCTTGCTTAGTACGACATGCACAAATGCATCAACCTCGTATGTAACGTCATTTTCATTCCTGAATTTCTCTGATATGGACATTGAACGTAATTTAGAAAGTGTGTATTGGGCAAGTAACAGGAAACAGATGAAGATAACTGATTACTGTACTCGTATCTAGGTACAGTAAGGCACAACAATTGATGTAATCTACTGTAATTTGGTGAGTAGGCCTACCTTTAATATACAGTATTATTGCGGTGTGTATTGTCAGCGAAAAGCGCTGTAATATGCCTTTGATATTACACATTTGGGCAATTCCACGTTAATGTTATGTTAGTCTGTACTTAACAACGTATTTCACTAAAAAATGCAACATTTGAACTCGGTTTTTGGTAGATTTTTACGTGACTAACATAAGGCTACTGTGGAAGTGCCCATTTCAGTTACAACGACATTCGTTTATAACGACACTATTTTTAGGTCCCTTTGATGACGTTATAACCAAGTTCTACTGTATATGAATATATGCATATATGAATGCATTCATTTATGCTAAGATTATGTATGAAACTTGTACACACTTCTTTGACAAAATATCTGGACTTCATGGATGGTCTGATAAGGTTTCTAGATAACAACCCAGTACCTTGAAATAAGTTCTCATCCACACCATTTTTTCCATCACTAACATCCTCCACTCCACTCTGGCTGTCACTTCCACAATCCTCATCATTCAGTTGCCCATCCAGTCTCGGTGATGCTGGATCAGTGTCGGCAGGTACATACAGGTCTGACAGCATGTAGTGTGCCGACGTCACAATCTAAAAACAATTGCGGCAGTGCACACACTTCACAATTATAACAAGAAGTTCTAGGAAGAACTAATCGCCTACTTTCCTTTGATACGACGTGGACCACATAGAAAATGATGCCTCCAACAATTTTTGTTGTCATGGGAAAACATTTACCAAATCATTGCCTTGCAACAATAGGCTAGACAGACAGACCCACAAACCATCAGTTAGGAAGATTCCCATACAAGAATTAAGCAAAAACATGTTATTCTGACTCTGTATTGAGTTTCTGTATGAGTTCTTCTCATGCAATCAGCAGAGTCATGTAACCTGCACACCCCATTCCCCATGCTACGTAACAAGAACTGTAGCTTAAGACACTATAAGAGATGCTTCTCACAGGATATAAACACTTCCTGGAAGGTGGACAGTTTGCCAAGGTCATAAACCATGGTATCCCACATCTATTTCACTAATCAGTATGGCATTTCTTCATCATACCTTGTCTCATTCTTACCAATCTTGCTTGCTTACTTACTTCTTTACTCATGGAGCTGAGCCCTTCCTGAGGAGCCGCCTCTGCAGCTACTCAAGAATTTCCCAGCATTTTATGGAACCCGATGGTTCATTAGCATGTTCACAAGAACCCTCCACTGGTCAGACCAATCCAATCCATACCATCCCATCCTATCTAAGATCCATTTTAATAATATCCGCCCACCTACACCTTGGTCTTCCCAGTGGTTTTTCCTTCTGGCTTTCCCACCAATATCATATATGCATTCCTTGTCTCCCCCAATTTTTCTTGATAATCTGATTTATGAAACCATCCTTATATAATTAGTCTAAGTGGAGTAGTGTTTGCCAGTGTGTCCTTATGTTGTTTCCATGGGAAACCAAATGTAACATTAATCTCAATTAGTTATGATATGATGAGAAATGGCAGCAAAAAGAGGCACTGTTTAAGCTAGTAATGCAGTGTCATTATCCAGTATTATAGTGTCAAACTTTGACAAACAAAGGTATGTCTTATTGTTTCTGAAGCTTTGTTTTTACAGCCACAACAAGTTACTTTGTTACTGGCAGAAAATTATACAGTGAACATCACACAGACGAACATATGGGAGCTAGGTCTAGCTTCCTAGCAAGTGTTTGTTGTTAATTGTGTTGCCACATATACACTGCAGCTATTTCCTGTGGTTATCTATAGGGGATTCAGTCCTACTTAAAAAAAAAAAAAACTGGAACTAGGTAGATAGTGTTTACCTTATGTCTACGGAAATTTCCAGCCCTGAACTGAATTCATATTGACCATATTATTACCTTGAAAACAGTCAAACTAAACAAAAAAAACATAACACCTGGTATTACCTGAGGGTACTTCTCCTTCACCAGCAGAGCTAAACAATTCTTAAGTAACATGCGAATGGTACCTTGCTGCCTCCGTCCATCTGCTGAATGCTTCATATTTCTTGCTACCCTTAAAAATAAGCAAATAAAATGTTTGAATTTCATTTTTGGGGCTGAACTGCACCAAACGTCAAGGGTTTTCTGCAAAGCTCACAGTTGTCATCTTCAGGGTTAATGGAAAGGGTTTTGGTATCACTTGTATCTCTTGCGCCTAGCTGCGTAGTTGGTTGAGGCACTATGCTACAATTTGGAAGGTTTCCAGTTTGATTCCCAATGAGGGCATTGAATTTTTTCGATTCATCTAATCATTCCAATTGTATTATGGCCCTGGGGTTGACTTAGTCTCTAACAGAAATGAGTACCAGGAATCTTCCTTGGGGGTACAGGTCAGTCGAGGCATAACGTTGACAACCTCACTGCCATCTGTGAGCTAACTGCATAGAAAATGTGGCAGCCTCATTTCACAGCCTGTTACAGGGATAACTTCCTTTTTTACATTTACCTTACATTTCTCTTGGACTCGGCAGTGCATTGGAGAAGCCATAAGTGGGTGAAAAGAGAAGCATGATGCCAACAAATAGTGACTGGCCATGCGGTTGATCTTACGCAGCGATCAAAAATGTTTCAGTGATTGCATGGTGAGGGAAGAAAGGTGATACAAAATGTTCTGACAACAAAGCTACTCTGAGAAGAGGTGGGGAAAACATTTCAGCAACTTCACGTTTAGGACTAAAGGTTGCAGAAGTTTTCTTTTTTATTTATTCTTTTCTCTCTCTTTTTTCTTATTTCTTTCTTTTTCTACAGACTGTGTTCACCTCTTCCCCTCCAAACTCACCACTGACCCACCTTCATCCAATAATTACTGAGCACCCTGACATTTGTTCATCCAATCTCGGTACATTTCTGACACAATGACAAATGCGAGAGCTACATCAAAGCTGCCAAAACCCTTTCTTAAGTTATTAACCTTGAAGGTGGCAACTGCAAGGTTTGCTGAAACATTGGAAGACATCAACATTTGTTACAAAAATAGTCCTGAAAGCCAAAGCAATGTATTAAGTTTCAGTCACAAATCTTAAAGACTAGAAGTAAAATGCTGTTGCAGCAATCGAGCATACATCTTAAAATTTATTTTTAAAAATGGTTATGATAATGTGATGTGTTACCTTATGTCCATCGCCGCCCAGCCCACAAAGAAAAGGAAATCACCGAAACTTCAATCCTCGTGGGAAGGCCCTTACAAGGTAGTCAACTGAATAAATGACGTAGTATACGGAATCTGGAAGAACCCTAGGTCAAAAATGTTGGTAACACACCTGGACCGGCTCATGCCCTACTACGGAAGCACTTGGAACGAGCACTCTGAAAGATGGGGGGGCGGATGGAAGAATCAAGGATGGAAGAACCGAACATCAAAACGAAAGCAGAGCGGAGGTACTGCTAGGAAGGTGGATGCCTGGAAGAGAGGAAGAACTGTTAGGCTGTTCGGGGACGAACAACCTTTAGAAGGGAGCAATGTAACATGTTTGGAGTAGGTACTTCCATGGTATGCAATGACAATGAGCCATTGCGTAGACAATGCCGAAACAACGAACGTGTCTCCCCGGAGATGAACAACAGAGAGCCTGTTACGCTCGTTTCATAACAACGGACTATCGGAACAGCGGTAACGGAACCGTGAGGAATGGTGTCTGGTATCCGGTCCATATAAAGCCTATATAAGCAGAGCTAGTTAGACCCGAATGAACGAGACAGTTGGGATCCAGCCACAGCCAAGGACAGTTGAGATGTCGTTTTAAGTTTTGGCAGTAGTTGTGAAACTGCAAGTGGTAATAACTGTAAGGTGCTGAGAACCTGTCACATGATATCATGCTTTTGGCTTTTAAATGTGGCAGACCAGTCGCATGATATCATGATTTTAGGACACGTTAGGTTGTAACACATTACACCTTGCTCTGGCGCCACCCAGGTTGCACGCAGCTGCATAATAAAACTCTGAAATGTTTGCTTACTTGTCAGTAACTTGACCTCGCTGTTTACTTAAAGGAAAATGCTTTGCTGCTCTTCAAACTGTATGTATCAGCCATTAGTTAGTGGTGGAGTATGCATCAAGGACAAATTCTTCTCCGATGAGTTAGCTGACCTGCCTTGTGAGACGCGTCATCATGGTGATTCAGAGAGCGGCAGTGACAGGGGAGAACAAAGAATTGTGGCCACAGACAGTAAAAGTGAGAGTAACTCCAATGATAATCCAGGTAATAACATTATGGGGGCAGTAAAAAATCTAAAAAATCACAAAAATCTATACTCTGATTCGAAATTGAAATACAAATCATTTCTGATGAATGTGGCAAAGGCCTGGGCTTCAGACCAGGTGGTGGCGGCAGAACCATAGTCAGACACAGACTTAGTGCGACCAGGCCCATCAACTCCCACGCCATGCAGGCCTCATGTGGACCCCCCAGGGTGACTCTTGGGTGATATGCGGAAACACAGCCTCGTGAAAATTGTGAAGAGTGAACATTCCAAGGGGAAGCATCCTTCTAGGCAATGCCATGTTTGTACAGTTCACAAAAAAAAGGTGTATGTCTACATTTGCAAGTTCTGTGTAATACCACTTCACAAAGGGGAATGTTTCCAGATATATCACACCCTCAAGCACTTCTATGAGGATTGGTAAATGTTCTCCAAAAATTTTAGTTCATAAAATTAATTAGGAGATTTCATATTAATTTTTAAAGTGAATAGTGCAAAAGTTAGGATAGTAGGTTTAATAATGGTGGCCCCAGGGTGATTTAAATATTTAAATCGCCAGTCCTTAATGTGTTAAAACAAACTATAACATGGCATTTTCTGATTCTCCCATCTGGGGAAAGAAACCATACAAATTTATAAAAAATCAGAGATTTATACTTGAACAAAATTTCAGCTATGGCCAGCCTGCTTCAGCATTGTTGCAGCTTATAATGCAGGCCACCCAGATAAAACATGACCAAAGCAAATGGCAAACACACAAATCATGTTTCAAAACAAGCCCTTCTAATCTCAATGTCAATCACACTCAACAGATTTAATCTTAAGTGAAGAAGAGGAAATCCACAACTTATCTGTACACTGTTAATGACACTGTAGCAGGTGTGATGTCTTGTTTGAAGGTTACACTATAATTATGTTGGACACTGTCTATTGTCTGAATTATGTCAGATGTATTGGGAGTATGTTGTGCTTCCATCTTCTGGTGAATTGTAAGCATTACACTAATAGTATTTTTTATACTGTTTTATTTAAGAGCAGCAGTCAGAAATGAATACAATTAGCATTAAGACAATGGGTAATGCCCACTATAGTTGTAACATAATACAAAAACAACCACTGTCATAAGCTTTTACAAAATGACTATACCATCCTGGCATTAACCAGTGTCTGGCAAATTATGAATGATACCAGTCTGGAGAGCTTCTCCCCTTACTAAGACTCACATTAGGTATCTCTAAAATTAGTGTATTACCACTGAACTAACATGCTCAGAGAAAGATAAGAAGATAATTTGTTAAGACCTCTCTGTGTACCCTGTAGTGGCAGATGAGCTCTGAGACAGGCCTACTAAGTATGAGTGCATACATCAGATCATGTAACAGAATTTATACAACAGGTATTGGAAGTTTCAGTTATCCTCTGCTATGGTCCATCCAGTATGTCACTGTAAGGCCTTCTCACATTGGGCTGCTGTAATGTGGTTACATTTTTCTACACAACAATAATGTAAGAAATTATTCAATTACTCTTCCAGATGAAAGCTAGCAATTGTTCCTTAATAATAATAGTAGTAGTAGTAACAACAATATGCACCTCTTAATTACTTTCCTTTCCTAAAGAAAATGGTATACATATGTGATTAGCATATCATGATGAAGTCTATGTGTGTACATGTGCATCCCCCACTTCAACATCTGAACCAACAGTGGGTTTAATTATGATCCCTGCCACTAAATCAAAGTAAAATATTACAGCACATCTGTCAGTATAATGACAAATTCACCAAGGGATGGAGTACAGCCACCTGAGATAACGCACAATACCCAGCATTCCAACACAACTGTAGCGTGACCTTCAAATAAATCATGACTGTGTAAGTTTAATCATATCTACTATGTCACTAAGTAACTTATGGGTTCAAATTATTCTCACCTGTAAAGTAACATTGCCACGGGAACAGTGAATGGATTCTGCCCTTTTTCATCCATCAGATCTGTACACAGAGACGTTAGGTCGTAGAGTTTCACTATGTCATCATCTTTGCCTGAAATATGAATAAGAAACGAGCATTAAGAGCAGCAGTTACTGAAGGGTGTACTGCCACACACTGTTATCACAAGGAGCTGGCAACAGGACAGCTCGAAATGGTCCATGACAATTTCCCCTCATACATTTCATAGTTAGTTGTACATACCCACCATCTCATCTCATTCAACACCAAATAACCTCTGAAGTTGAAACAGCACCATCAACAGCCAGTAACAATGGCTTGTGACCGTCTGAACAAGTGGTGGCAAGAAAACAATAAAATTTACTCCTCTTACCCCCATGCATATATTTAAGGAAAGAAAGCAAAATTTGTTTTGTTTAAATGTTGACATTTTAAGAGATTACTTCCTACGTTACACATCACCCTCCTTCAGGAACTTATGCTCAACATTGTAATTCACCAAGGTTTCCACCATCAGACTTAGAAAAACTTCCTCCTCCTGGTACAAATATCAGTAAAATGCCCTGAAATCAGAGGAGGGTTTTGTCATGAAACAAGACCTTGAGGAGTATTCTTCTGCGACGTCACTCTATTACTCAACGCCGTAACTACAATTCAACATAACTATCAGTATAACACAAAATGTTGAACAAGTCGTTTCACAGTCGCTCCTTTCATGTTAACAACTCTCACTATACTGTAGAACTGCTCTGCTCTCCGTGCTGTCTAACCACTGGCTTCTGTCAGCGCACACACTGCACACACACTGTCGTTTTCCACTGCTCTCTGTCTCAGCACAACACACTGTCTTCTGTTGGTGCACACACTGCACACACTGCTTCACTCGGTCCTCAGCTGACTTCTTATAATGTTGCCTGTTTCCTAGCAGCAGCAGCACCTGCTGTTACATCACAGCGGGAAGCGTTTACTGGCCTGTTACCCCAGCAGCCGCAGCAGCATCCGCCGTTATGTCACAGTGGACGTATTGCCTAACACAGCTCCTCTGCGGTTATGTCACCGTAGGGTATCGTTTACCTGCAATGCGTGCGTTATTGTGTCATGCTGAGTCCACGATTTCCAACAGGTTTAGACCCTGACAAGGTCATCTGTGCATTCTACTGCCCAAGCATCAATCATACAGATAAAAAGACAGACTGGCTCTTTTATGGGTGCTTCAGCAAGGATGTCTAGGAGACTGAAAATGCACTGTTTCTGTCACTTACCAGGCCAAACTGACTAAACTCCTGTTTATGCTCTAAACCAAGTCCTTAGCAATGTGACATTTGAATTTCACATAAATTTCTGCATTTCTCATTTCCCCATGTTATATGTATACCTTAGAGAATTCTTCCCAAATTTTAGCTGATACATTATGCACTTGGTATAACTGATTACTCCTCCTTAGTAATATATTTCGCCAAATTTGTGTACACAAACATTTAGATGGTAAGTACCGTATTTTTGTAAGGTTTAATTATTGTCTGATTTAATGTAATGAAATATATCATTACGCATCATATTGTTTGATAGACTATATGCTCAGTAGAGGGTTGTGCAATATGGCATAACTTCTTGTGATGTTTTACAATTCCGGGGTTCCCCTTTGTCCAAGTATATTATGCCATGTAGAATGATTTAGAAAAGAATGCATGATACAAAGATTTACATTATTGGCTGGAGTTTGTAAATCGGGACTGTACCGGGATTCAACAGCCAATCGGGACTGTTGGTAATTGAGTATTACATCATGCTAGTGGATGCCTGATGGACTGCCCACCTCTCCGTGGTGTAACAGAAGCCTCTGAACCTTGAAACAAGTAAGATGTAGGTCAAGTGCCTCATCTGAGACACAATATAAAAAGAATGGTGCTGTGTTAAGTCATAAACAAACTCACACTAACAACATGTATCAAAGTTTAAAGTTTATCTAGCAAAGTAAAAGGAAGTAAAACCAATAAAGTGTTAAGTGCTTAGTGACATGTGTTGTTTTTAATTTTGTTTGACTCACTTAATGAAACAAGGCCTGTGTATGACTCTGAGATAAGTCTAGTGCTCTCTGACAAGAGAGATAGCGCCCAACATTTATGACATCTGGATTAAAGAGGCCACCATTTGGTAGTAACTACAGAGTGACCCAGCTGCAGCAACCTCTACAGTTTACGAAAGACACCATCAAGATAGGAAAGCACCTAAGTAAGTGGCCCCCAAGTGAGGCTACATCACCGTGTCAATCAACAAAGCCAATACAAGGTGACTCTCAACGTGCAGTTCTGTCAGCCCTAACAAGTACCAAGGGGGAGAGACCGCTATATTGGAACCAAACATTTGCAGTCCACATTTATGCCTAGAATGGTTAGTGTGCACATTATGTTATAACAAAGCACATGTTAAGGACAAAAGTGGTTGTGGATTACTTTACAGCGCTATGTTCTCAATTCAGCGGAAATATTTAGTAAAATTGCAAGGAACTGCAATCAGGATATCCTAGTGTTCCAGAAAATTCAGATACAGCACAAAATACAATTCTGATGGATTACTACTAAGCTAACTTATTTGGTATACTGTCACATGTATGACTGACTATAGAAGGGGTTTGGACTGATGATCAGATTTATTGGACTCCTTGGATACAGCATGTGACTACACTTTACAGTTCATCATTACACATACACTAGTGTCTACAGTCTGTTACAGTCTCCTGTAGCCAGTACTTGGTAGCAGCTTCCAACAGCAGATGTTTCCTTTCCTCTGGGTTCCTGAACTGTCCCCAGCCTTTGCTACCAGCTTCTAACAGCAACGGCTCACAACAACTGATCTCAGCAGTTCTCTGACTGACTGACTGACTCAGTTACTCACCAACTAAATAAACCAACCAAAATAAGCTGACTCACTAACTGTCCTGCTTATAACATCTCGGCACTGACCAGACAGAAAACATCACTCTTCTGTTGGCATGCTATTGTTGCATGCGCAGCCATTGGTGCCAACGACACAGAAAACACAATTCCTCTGTTGCTATTCACAGGCCCTTACCATTAACCACTGTTGTACAGCTGCTTATCTCATGGCGGTTGCCTACCAATGGGTCTACACGCCACAATATCTATGGCTTGTCAAATGGCTGTGTGAGACAATAACCTTGAACAGTGTTTCTGAAGCAGTGGGATACTTCCCACTTGTGGGACCTCACGTTTAGCTGGGTCGGACATGAAAATAAGATCCTCTATTAATGATTAATACAATATTAGAATATACATAACTATGAACAGTAGACTTCTTCATAAAAAGATTTTTTTATATTATGATGGGGTGAAATGTAAGATGCAAAAAGGTGAGAATCACTGACCTACAGATCATAAAAACTGGAAAGCCTAGATAGTTCTTGGTTACTGACATTTTCACTTATCCATAATCACCTTTTAATAACCAATATGTATGCCCAGCCTTGGTGGCATTTGACTTGAGGAAGGACAGAATATTCTGGGCGACATCTCTAATAACTTTTGGTGAGAATTTTGAATTCTCCAGATGTGGTAGGTCTTCTGTCTTTATGAGTTCATATTTCTGCACTATTCCATCCAGATGGTAGCACATCACCAACTCCGGCACGTTGCACATCAAGTTGTCCAGCCAGTAATCAATTCCTGTCAGTACACTTATTGGCTTTGACATATCCCTATAAAAGCAAAATAAGCTGACAATTATCCACTTATTTACAACATTCCAAAGTGTTCTTTACCCATTTTCAAGTCTCCTGCTGGACCCTTATCCTCAGCCATTTGAATTCAGTGTACTGTCTTCATGCCCTACTTGTCTAACATTCATTCCTCCTACCAATGCATAGCTCAATCAAATGGTCTCTTCCCCTGAGGTTTTCAAACTAAGATTTGCCACCCATTTCTCACATTTCCCATGTGTGCCACATACCCCACTCACAATCACCTCTTCATTTTAATCATTCTAATAATATAGGCAGAGAGTACAGAAACACAATTTTCAAAATCCCCTTGTTACTTGCTCTACAACATCCATCCATACTTATACTGCTAATGATTGCTTTTAGGCTTTCCCATGGTTGTTTACTATTGATGTTGGTTCAGCTCTGGGTTGTTTACGCTGCATGGACAAGGCCAGTGCTGTCAATATATCAGAGGAACATTCTGCTTCCACCTTCAGGTTCAAAATGTGTAGGATGTGTGAGACAACTACCTCATTACACACTGCACTGTTACAGTACTGCATGAATTCAGTAGTTTTGCAGTATCAAATGAGAACTATGATACTTGTGAACAGTATGGTCTTATGAGTTGTAACACTGCCTAATTCGGTGACAGCTTGGCATTTCTCAGGAACATATCACCTCCACCTTCAGAGTCGAAGAGCATGCAAGCAAGAAACGTGCAGATGCAGGTGGCAAATTTCAGGCTTTCTCCAAACTATGGGGCATTACAACCCAGAAGACCATACTCTGAACAATCACTGCCTTGAGAACATAAAATCTAACATATTATACTTCTCTTCTGCATTAGGCTGAAACGTACCTGAGTCTGAGGCTGATGCATGGGTGAGTCGAACCCCCAAATATGGGCATATCTGTACCAATAAGCATCTGGATGTCTTCAAATGTCCACACAACATTACGGACAAACTTGTGATTAGATGCTGGGTCAGGAAGATTCTCTTCAGGCCTTGGCTCTGGCAATGGTGGCCAAGCCTTCAATAAAAAAATTAAAACAGAAAAAAATAATTCTTAAATATTGCTTCTTATGCCAGGAGATCATGAAATATAAAGACAAGGAACCACAAAGTATATTGAATAATATTCTTTCGGTCAAATAATTTAAAATTATGATGCATGGCACAACGCTAAGAATAATTGGGAATTGAATCTCAACATGGTCTGAATATGACACGGTTAAAATTTTCCTTCAAAACTTTTTGTACTATGCATGACACACCTCACAAAAATATTGGCCATTGCATTCCTCAGTTTATTTCGCATTTGTCAAGATCAGTGAAACAAACAGTCAGGTCTAAATGTTTCTAATGATGGTATCAATAAACACAAATATCTTCTTGGATACTGTCCATCACCTAGAGTTTCTTCATACACAATATTTCAGAAATTGGATCTGTTTTCATCATCATATACGAGGGGGTACCCAAAAGAAACCGAACTTATTTTTTTTTAAACTTATTTATTCAAATTTTAAGCACAAACCTTCAATCCCCTTCAAAGTACTCTCCACTTACACTAATACACTTGTCTAGTCTTTTATTCCATTTTTCAAAACATTGTCTAAATTCATCTTTTGAGATGCCTGACAGCGCCTCCGTCGTTTTTTCCTTCACCTCAGCAACATCAGCAAAACGCTTTCCTTTCATGTCTCTTTTCATTCGAGGAAACAAAAAAAAGTT